TATTTTTTATGTTTTTGAAGTCATTTTCTGCAGCCATAAGAGTTGGAAACTCGATTTAAACAAGTAAAGTTCAAGGTGCAGAATACTGTACTTGTGTGAAATTTGTATTGTAGTGTATACAATGTGGGCTGTGGAAAGTGAAAAGTAATTATTTGCTTGTTTTAAAACATTTAACTAAGGTTAAATATGCCTGCTTGCCTTTAAAGTCAGTTGGAGGCATATTTAATTATCAGTCTGACAGATATAAGCTGATCTTCCAATAGATATAGAATAGACAGATGTTGAAATTAGGAATAAGCCAAGCATTGTTGGTTGGCTCCTGCCCCAAATATGTACACTGAAATGGAAGCTGACTCTTTAAAATATTATTTTTTAGACAATATTTTACACGCTGCCACGCCTTTCAGAAATTCCTGAAGAGGAATGGATTTCTCTCTCTAAATTTACAGCATTCAGAGATATTCCATTGAGTTCGACGTTTCCATCCTGCCATTCTCAAACTACACTTCTTGACCTTAAGCCAAATGACTGGACTCAGCAAGATATCGGTAATAATAATAATGGTGATCATCATAATCTAAACAGCATTAAGAAATAATTTGTGCTGGCCAAATAGTTATACATACTTTATAAAGACTCTAAAATATATTTGTCTATGGTATTTAAGAGCATAATTACTGAGCACACAGATTATATTTGTCCTAAATACTTATGTCCTAGAATGCTAAGATTCTTAAGGAATAATTTCATTTAGATAATTACATAATTTCTTTTAGGATTGAATTTAGCTGAGCCAAGTAATGAAAGGCGGTGGATGGATGTTCAAAAAAAAATTATCCCTTGCAAACTCAGTACTTCTGATTTGGATCTGGAGCTTATATTTCAAGATCGGGCCACTAAACTTGGAAAATCAAACAGGAAATTGATTGTAGTTGCTTCACTCATTGATAAACCCACCAATTTAGGAGGTAAGTTCTTATTCATTTTAAACTATTTATAGGGTTTTTTTTTTTTTTTACATTGCATGCCTTACATTTACAAAGTAACAAACCTAGTTTAGTATCCAGCCTAGAAAATTTGAGGATTTAGAAAGGGGAAATAGGTTCTTGCATTTTAGTGATCGAACTGGAACGCAAAAGAGAAATGTCTTTCATTTTCCTAATTGTGTTAATACCTACGTTAGAATATTTCAAGGAATAGTTCTGTGCAATGTGCATCCTTGATTTTAAAGTTAATAGTGAACGATGCTGTAGACCAGCATCTTTACCTTATTTTGTTTATTTATTGTACCTTTGAGTCAGTGCTGGCTCCTGGTGACTGCCTGGACAGGTCCCTGCAGTTTTCTTGGCAAGTGGTTTGCCATTGCCGCCGCCTTCTTCCTAGAATGGTCTCCCAGTTTCTAGCCTGGTGCCCTAAGCACCACAGCACACTGGCTCTCACCGTAGTTTAGATCTGCATATTTGTAGTCTCAACATGAATCTTCTTCCTCAGTACCCGCGTGTACCATTCAACTGAGGAAATCAATCTCATATTGAAAGAGCTCTGCTTTATTTGTAGGCTTGTGTCGTACATGTGAAATATTTGGTGTTTCTGCTTTAACTGTTAGCAACCTCCATTATATAAATGACAAACAGTTCCAGCATCTCAGCGTGTCTGCTGAACAATGGCTTTCCGTTATTGAAGTGAGTAAAATGTACCTTCCTGCTTCGTCACATGCACGCAAGTTAATTGCTATATAGTCTCCCTCTGGTTTTTATGAAGTTGCATCCAACTTGGACACTATAAAAAGATCTGCATTAATTTTATGGTATTACATATTAGCTGCAGAATTTAAAGAAACAGTCCAACTTGAGCATTTTTATCTCTCTTTGATTTCAGTGGGAGAAATATAATCATGGGTTTTTCATATATTCAATTCTGGCTGACAAGGGGAGGAAAGAGTGAGCATTATTGCCCTTTGGGGCTTTGTAGGGGCAACTCTCCTGAATCAGATACCAAATTAATGAATCTTTAGCTTATTGCTGAAATACTGTGAATGACATCAAGCTTAAGGACTTTTGCCATGAATGCACGCTTCTTGAACGAGGGCAGCAGCTTGATCAGTCTAACCCAGTGTTTGTCAACCTTGGCAACTTGAAGACGTGTGGACTTCAACTCCCAGAATTCCCCTGCCAGCCATGGTCTAACCGAAATGAAAAGGTTTCAGTCTACATATATTAGCCTTTTGATTATAGGATAGATCTATTCAATCAGAACGTGTTCTATTTTGCTCAGTGTACTAATGAAAATTACACACTTCTAAACCCTAGTGCTAACCTCATTTTTCAAAACTTTCTAGGTAAAGCCTTTTCAGCTGATTGATTATTTGGAACGGAAGAAAATTGAAGGCTACTCTATAATAGGGGTGGAGCAAACAGCTAAAAGTTGCAATTTAACAGAATATTGCTTTCCAGAGAAATCCCTGTTGTTGTTGGGGTAATGAAAAATCTAATTCTAATAAATTGTTCAAATATGTTTTTGGTAGAGAATACTGAAAACCATTCAGAAAATGAAAAGAAACAGTTTTGCCCATGTACTGCAGAGCTTTTCCTTAGAGACCTAAGGAAAATTTCCTGGAGGTTAATCTGTCAGGCAGCCACACACTGACAGCAGTTCAAAAGTTGGATATTTTCTTGATAGCTATTTTTTAATAACTGTCATGATGTTTAATTTCCAGCATCACAAATTACCTCTTTTTAAGTTTCTCACATAATTGCATTGGTCATGCAAAACCAAAATATAACTAAAATTTTCTTAGTAATGTAAAACCCAGAAAAAAGTTTAAATGCATAGGACTATGGTTAAGTTTTATTAGGAACTTGAATTGAAAGCCCTGTTTCCCTTTTCTGAAAAATCTGTTGCATGGGACTGGGTTGGGAATCATTGAGTCTGCAGAAAATACATAGCCTTTGTAGTTAAGCTGCCCCCAAACTTATTGGGATTTTTGCTGATGTGCTTCTGCCATGAATGGGTATCTGGAAGGGTGTCACTCTTGATGGGAAGTGACAACAGTACAGAGTTGAAAGAAAAATGGCATTTACCAATGAGATGGCGGTGAGAATTTAGCAAGAAGTGGGGGTTGTGCAAAGTGTTCCTTTCTCCCCCCCCCCCGTTGAGCTCCATCTTCCACACATCTGGCAAAAAATAGAATATGGGGCATTTTTTAAATTAAAAAAACAACTACCAGACTTAAACTTCTACCATGAGGAGTTGGTATACATGTCTTATCCAGCCTGTTTTGCATGTCATTTTTACAAAACCGATTTTTCTTGGGTTTACTATGTTCTTATGGAAAAAAGAAAAAAAATAATATAGATGAAAGTTAAAAAAGGAGGAACTCTTGGCAGGAAAAAGAGATTTCCTATGTCTGCAATAGGAATAAAATTCATGTTAATAAAGCTGGCCACTTATGTTTGATATATCACAGCACATCCTTGATTGTATCTAACACAAATTCTAAAAATAAATGTCTTGAGAGTCCAAATCTGACATTATTCTCAGTGACAGTTCAGATTGCTGCAGTAATTTCTATCCATACTAAAGTGGATAAAGCTGTTTGCTTTATGCTTAGTATTTTCTGATCTTTATCTCTTAACAGTAAGAACTTCTGCAGTAGAAACTGCATCCATTCCAGATTTTGGCTATGGCCTGGACTTCCAATACAAAACCTGCTAATGTTTGGGGGTGGGGGTGGAAATGAAAATATACAAACCTGGTCATTGATCTTTCTAGCTCAGTACTACCAGCAGTTCTTCAGTGTTCAGTGCAGGTATGGTTCTGGAAATACTTGCATTTGAACTTGATTTTTTTTCTGCATGTGAAGCCTGTGTTCTGCCATTGAACAATGTTCCCTTTCTGCTAATGTAATGCATGTTTGTTTTTTAAACCAGAAACGAACATGAGGGAATCCCAGCAAATGTAATTCAACACTTGGACACTTGTGTAGAAATTCCTCAGCAAGGAGTTATTCGTTCACTTAATGTCCATGTAAGTGGTGCTCTGCTCATTTGGGAATATACAAGACAGCAGATTGTCAAGGAAAAACAACAAAGACAAAATGTGTAATTCTTGTTGCACCTGCTGATTTGATGGTGCTATAAATTCCCTGAAATGATTATAGCTACCATTTGAGTATGTTTTATACTTTGCATGCCTTCGTTTTTTAAAAATGTTAATGCCTTAAACCATGATAGTATTAAAATTATTGTTTTTAATGCACTTTTTGGTGCTAGTGAATTCTATTGCTGTAAACACCATCTCTTGATAGTTTGGAAGTGGTTTTAAATAATTATTCATTTGCAGCACAGTGGCTGCTTTTGTTGTATGTAGTTCTTGCAACTCTACAGAGCTGTCAGAATATTAATAGAGCAACTCTGTAGAGATGTCAGTAGCCATATTAATCCATGCTATTGTTGGTTCACGTAACTATAAACTCGTTCCATGAATTTATTTCACCATGGAGAAGATCTATCTATATGGTCACTAACGAGTCAAAAATGACTTAATGGCACATAATCAAGAAGATACTGCACTCTGCAATATTGCAACTTGCCATTTGACAAACAAGCCTCCTTCACTTTGCACTTGGTTATGACCATGCAGTTTTCTGGGACTGGCTTTGGGGATTTTTTTTTTTTTTTAATTCAGACTATCACCTACTCTAGGGTATTTTCTCAACCCAGCATTAACTCTAGCTGGTCAGTTTCTGTTTCTAAAAACTGGATATATGTCTCAAAATTTAAATTTTAATTCAACATATTAAACAAACTGATCTCCCATATAACAGAATTGGTGAAAATGGAATAGTTAAGAGTGCTGCTGTTGATAACTGTATAGACAAAGGGCCATTGAAATATTAGACATTCTCCTGCACAGGAGGAAACATATTTGGAAGAAGATATTTACTATGAATTCATGATATAGTATTTGAATTTATACAGTTCATTTATGAATTTATACAGTTCAGTTATTTTGACTTTATTGTTAGTATAGCCTTTTAGTGGTGAAAGACAAACATGCTTTCCTAAGTGCCTCTTCTCTCCAATGAGCATTTCAAATAACGGAAGCTGGAGCTTTCAGGCCAGTATGAGATTTATAAATAAGGACAGGCATGAAAATTTATAGAACATCACTGGTGGCAACATTTATGTTCTTCAACGATGCTGCTCTTCTGCAACTTCCCTTGTGTCCAGTATTGTAAAAGCTGTCTAGTTGCTATGATTTCTCTGTTTTCTCTGAAGGCAGAAATTGTCCTGATTCCATTTGTGCTTTATATTGTAAAAAATCTCTTCTTTTGTTAAAGTATTTAACCTGTTTTGAATAAGATCACTTTGTTAGCAAGTCACCAGCTCAGTAAAAGAATAAAGTAATGAAACTAGAAAAAATACTGTACCCATAAGATTTTAGAATTCATTTTTGTTGCTATTATTGATCTATTTTGAAAACCTAATGTTGAATAAATTATACCCACATGACATTTTTTTTTAAAATGTGGCACTACATACTTCTTTCCCTTGTTACATATAAAAGGCTAGGAGAAAAACAACGCAAAGTCACTGTGCAGGTACGTACACATGGAAATAGCTAGAAAAAGCTTATGGAGCTAACAGCTCAGTAAGCCAGGAAAAGATATTGCTGCTTTAATGTTTCAAAGAAAGGTACTTCCTACATCCTCCTACGTGCCGCAAAGTACCTCCTTGGAAATGTTTGCACATCTCTAGTAACTATGTAGAAAGTTGTTAGCTTAAGCAATGATTAAAGCATCAGCTAGAAATTACAGGTGTTCCTGTTCCAGACTAGCAAGCACAGATAATGAAACCACAAATAAGAAATCTTTGAAAAAATATAAAAAATATGGACTTCTGGGGAAGAAATGGCAAACTGAAGGGTGGAATGAAGCGTCAGTGAATAGACTGGCTCTTCATAATTCCTCTCTGGACAAGGAGTGGACTCGAGATTGCCCACAAGTGCTCCAGACAATTGCTCCTGGCAAGGAGACTGCAACAGAGTGGTTTCTGGCGGGATTAGAGCTCCGGGAGATGAAGGAATAGCCGTCTTGTTCAAAATATGGTTGATGCTTTCAAAAGGACACTGGGTTCGCATACAGGCAATCCCTAGGTTAAGAATGAGATTCATTCCCAAGGTCTGTCCTTAAGTCGAATTTGTATGTAAGCTGGAACAGGTATTTAGTGTCAGTTAGTCTGGAGAGAGAGAATGTGTGTGTATGTGTGTAGTTCGTAAAACAGTTTAAATAGGAAAAAAAAAATCATGATTAAAGGTTAACACAGTACTCTTGTTCCATCTTGTCTTGCATATCAGAAGGGGCATTTGCAAAGTAAAATTGGGGATAGCGTTCTCCTTCCTTGAGCTGACGAAACACTGAAGCCATGAAATGCTTTCATGAATTGCTGAAAACAGGTTGTACAGTATATTAAAAATGCATGCACTACTTCATGATGCTCATGGAGGCTTTGCGCAGCTTCGGTGGTTTGTCAGCTCGGGGGGGGGGAAGAGTGCCGTCTGCCATTTTGAGTCAGCGGCCCGTTCCATGTGTAGTCCATAAGCTACACATTCTTAACTCGGGGACTACCTGTACTTCCTTTTCTAATCACTTTTAGAAATTGCTAACTGCTTTTCAGCTATTAGGAACCTTTGGATTGACAAGGCTGAAAACACTGGGTGTTTAATCCTTAGCAAAAGAAGTTTTAAATACAAGTTTAAGGACTTAAAAATTTTTTTTGAAATAAATAGCAAAAAGATGATTAGAACTTTGATTTTGGAAAGTTACAAACAGACTAAGAGCATGGAAAAGGATGCTTGATGGAATGAAGAACTTAAAGTGCCTAGTAGATGAGAAAAATGCATGTAAAAGAATGCTCCAAAAATGAGGACAAAGATACGCAACATGTATAACAAGAAAAAGATAGTTGCAAATAATGTAACCGAAGAGGATTTGTTCTTGTATGATCAAAGATAAACAATGCAAAGAGAAAGTGGAGCTATTTGGGGAGTTGGATGAAAAGGGCTAAAAAAGGGACTGCCAGAAAACTGAATGGAGTTGATGTGATGAACTTATTTCAAATTAAACTGAAGTGAGGGAATGTTGAAATGAGTATTTGAGATATTTGTATGTAAATGACAGCATGTTTAAGAGCAGAATTAAAACGAATGTATAAATCTTAGAATTCAAGAAAAAATGGGTGAAAAGAAGGTCATAAATGCTGTGAGAATGTTGAAAATGTGGGTGTAGGTATTGCAACTGGAGAAATGTTAAAATATAGATGTAGTTTGCTTACAGAATTGCTGCACAACGTTTAACCTGCCTGACAATTGGAACAATGCCATTATTCTTCTCTTGTCCAAAGGCCAAGGGAACAAGAGCAAAAGCTCATTTATTAGTGTGCCTGGAAAGGTTTCAGGAAGAATTCTAAGAGGATTCAGGCAGAGGTGTACAGATGTGGAAATAAGGATGGTTTGCAAGGACAGAAAGGAATGAAGAGGGACAGTGAATGGTGGTGGTCTAATTTCAATTTACTTTGATTGCCTTTTTCTGTATTTCCTGTCTTTAATTTGTTTTGTTCACTACTACTCATTCCTTGCCTGTCTTTTGCATATCCCAAAAAGGAATATCACGTTAGGTATGTACGCATAAAAATAATGAATAAAAATAATTACTTACCCACTGCTGTGGACATAAATTTTCAAAAGAACATCTCAATTTGTCACATTTTGATGTATCTTCCATATTTTCATCTAAGCATTTCCAATAGATATCCCGGGCATTCCAGCAAGCCTTTCTTTCTTTCATAGATGGTGCTGACATTTCTGTCACTACTAAAAAAAAGAATAAAGATGAAATCATTCTTAAAGTACTTTTGTAATTCTGTAACTTATATCTTACAAAAAAACTTGGAAGCTAGTCCTCTCCAATTCTTTGAAGTATGCTTATTTCAGATATGCACTTGAATGTTGTGTCTACTTGAAGTTAGGGTGTTCTTGTAATTTACTTACATCTGAATATATTAAGGTTTTCAGCCATACTGTAGGTGGGAAAAAAGATGATATAAAGCAAATCTGGTATTAATGACATTTCTATTCCATCATTTCTTCAAGGAGCAAAAGGTAGCTAACAAGCTCCTGTCCCTGGTCCCATTTTATCTTCTTAACCACACTACAGCAATAATTGGCCAAACAGATTTGAATCTGAGTCTCCCCAGTATTAACCCAATAATTCTAATCACTATTAACACTTTGGTTCTGATTATGTTTAATTACTAAACATAAAAATCTAGAGTTTAGGACAAGGTTAAACAACACTGACTTTAAGGCATGATATGTGAATAAGCATATGACATTAGGTGGTCATTTGTACGTGGGTGAAAAAAGGCAATACGACAACTTTACATAAGATGCTACCTCATCTTTCCTAATCTGGCTTTTGTAACTCATTGGATCGCTGTCAGTTGCTATACTCCTTCAAGTATACATATTCTCTTGAAAATAATGGGAATCTTTCAGAAGCTTAAATCTGTCTTAAGCTTTCTTAAGGCAAACCATGTAATTATGTCAGTTGTACTGACAGGAACAAAGATGCATTTTGACAGGAACAAAGTAAATACATAACACTCTTGTTGGGATGTGTGGAAAGAAAACTTGAGGTTGTCAATAATGTACCTATTTAGGACCTACTGAATTCAATTGGACTTCTGAATAGATATCAATGGGGCAATACTTAATATTTACTTTATGAAGAAGGGATGTGTTCACAGATGAACAAGAAAAATGCCATTATAAGTCCTTCATCTAGGTATGGCTAATAATTAAAAAATTAATACAAGCCCATATAAAAATATTTGTCTTTAGCACATCCATATCAATAGCAAAAGGCCCAAAGCACAATCTTATGCATATGTCCTCATAATATCTCCCACTGTATTTAGTGAGGCTTGCTACCATAAGTATGCAGAGCAAGGGTAGATTACTTGGTACCCTGTGGATGGCTTGGCGTACATGTTCCATAATTTGTGCTGTCTGGTGCATATGAGAATTGTGGTCAAAAATACCTGGAGATACCACCTTGTCTACCCTGACATACGCAAAGCACAGCGATAAAGGGAGTACTGCTACTTCAAATGCTGTCAGTCCATCCTAGAGATGGGTCACATGAGCCTTTATTCATTTTTGATAGTGTACCTTTTTCTCCAGCTGCAAGTGAGTTTTGCATTTACCACAAAGTGTGGATTTGACTTGAGTCTCTCTCATGCTATTCCACTGCCTATTGTTACTGGCCAGTTTGAGTTACAGCATTATGACTTAATTTAAAACTGATCAGTTATTAATCCCGGAGCCAAACGTGTGTGTAGTGGTTCAACGAATCAAAAGCAACAGCAGTAAACACTTCTGATACACAAAAGCCCTCGATTCTGGCAATCTTCTGTACTAGAAGAGTTGCTTCTCTTCGGAGAGTGGCTTTTCCTGGCTCTCTGCTTGTTTTCCTGGAAGTGCGATCTATCTACAAGCAAGAGAGGAAGGGGGACGTTCACTGAAATGACTCGAAGCGACGGCGCCAGCTACTTACCACCTTTGGTTGCACCGGGACGTAGAGCCGGTTGCAAACAGCTCCTTCGCCACTACCGGAAAAAGCAGACCAATACTGGGAATATTCTTTTTTTTTTCCTCGCCCACAAAGCCAGAGCTGACCGTGGGAAATAAGGTGCACGTTCCCTGCTCAGGGTTCAAGAGAGAACGGTCCGGGATTGAACAAAGAGAAAAGGCCACCTTCACCGTTACTGCGTCTCCTCGACTTCGCACTCGAAAGGGAACGAGCGCCAAGACAATTCAGTCACGTGCAAAGGGGGCTCCAGCCCGCTCGCGCTTCCAGCGCTCTCCTCTGTAGGTCCTGTTGGTACTTACCTGCCGCACTTCCGGATCAGCTAAATCCCCCGGACGTTCATTGATGTCGAACATACCGGAAGTGGGTATGCTGTTCGTTCAACCGACATGCTGTGCGACGGGCCTGAGGGGGAAGGACGTGCGGTGTTACCTGGTACGCATGTGCATTTGGCCCAAACGACCTTTCGCGAGGAAATAGCCAGCCCCGCCCCTTTTGTGCAGGCAGGAAGGTGTAAAGTAGCATGAGCGGAACGGGTCGATAACCGTTGGGAAGCTAGAAATCTTATTTGGTCTGTCAAGGACGTTGGAAAACCTGAGGGTATATTTTTAATTTAAAATAAAAGGCGTTATTTGTTTACAAGCTTGCTTATTTATTAAGGTTTATATGGCCGCCCAACTCGATTTTAGGTAGCGGAATACAAACCAAAGAACAAAAATACAAAAGCAAACCAAATACCAGCTAAAAATATAAACAAGTAGAGAGATTAATCTGAGTAGAGATTAATCTGTCTGCTTGACGTTACATTGTTTTTTTTATGACATTAGTATTACTACTTTCAATCTCTGTTGATAGTATTTATTGATATGTCTAATCATTTTGGTAAATTTTCCTTTATTGTTAGATAGATAGATAGATAGATAGATAGATAGATAGATAGATAGATATGGTATTCTAACTGCTTAGAATTGTACAATTGAAGTGGCATAGAAGCATTTGTAATAAATTTGATTATCTATTGTGGATTTGTGATTTAATTAATATTTCATAGTTCTGACTGATTTTTGTGCTGGGTTAATAATATGAATTATGACCAGGTTGCATGTGTTGAGCTAAAAGATTGAGAGCATTTTTCATTCAGATGATCTGAAAACTAGTATCTTGCCATTTTCTATTAGCTATGTTTTATTATTACATTTATATCCACTTTTCCTCTGGGTCTTAAGAGTCTAGTGTTCAACATAGCACAAACAGGATTTCCCCTCATTTTAACTTCATTTAGAACACCGGCATTTTCCCGGGGATAGGCTGGATACAGACACTGGTCACTGGTCCCAAGTCATCCAGAGAGCCTCGTTGATAATGAGTATTTGAACCTTAGGTTCCCTGCTACCATCCTTAACATTTTGGGTTTTTTTAGGTACTTCATCTCCCTAGATTCTAAATCATCTGGGCTGAAAAAAAAGTAATCAGTGATGTAGTGTGGGAAGAAGCTGTGCTCTTTCTTCTTTACTGATTCTTGTTTTTTTGGCTAAATATTATTGAACATTACTGATGATGTGGATCATTTATATGCATAAAAATGAACCAAAGGCATTCTGAATCTAACAGTTCTTTGGGATCCTGGCAACTCTGTTTATTTAGTTTGAGCTTTTATGAACTCAGTACTCAGTATTATTTTCCCCTTTTCAAAAGAGACTGTAGCTAAACAGTGAGGTGCAAGCTTTGTATGCAGATGGCCCTGCCTTCACTTTGGCATCGCCAGCTAAAAGGATCATGTAGTGGATGATGATCTGAGACCATGTATTTGGAAGAAACTTGCTGAGAAGGAAAGGAGAAGAGATCTGAGGAACATCTGCTCCTTCAGAGTCAGTAACATAGCAACTAGCTGTCTTGTTCGAGATAAAGGTTGGCTGATCCACAAAGTACAAAGCAACTCTGAGCAAAGAATTAGAACTAATAGATGAAAATTATAAAAGTTTTATTTTGGCTAAAACAGGAGAAATGTCTTAACAAAGAGATACGTTCTACTGGAAGAATCTGCCTTGGACAAGAGACAGTTGTGGATTTTGTTTTACTGGAAATATTTAAGATATGACAATTTCTTAAGGATGCTAATTGTACTCTGCATTGACATACCTGCAGTAACAATGGTTTGGACTAGATGACTTAAGAGATCCCTTCCAATAACCTTATTTGCTGTCATCTTTCCATAGATGAATTCCTGAGAAATATTCAGATCTATAGTTAGTATGGCTCACATGATCTCATATCTTTAATCATTCTTGTTCCAGGAGTATTTGGCTGTATATAAATGTTTTATACTACCATCCTGTTGTATTACAATAAGGAAAACTTTCTAAATATTCATAATGTAACAAATAGGTGAATGTTTAATTTTCTCCCAATAGAATCAGTGGGATATTAAAGGGTTAATTTTGGCTGGATTGTACTCAGTTTATAAAATCCTTTATCATTGTAAAACACTAAAATCAAGGACTAACATTAAAATTTAAAAAGTTGTGCAGTGATTTATACATTATTATATAAACTATTTGTGAGGTTGGCTAAAGAATGAATTTCATCAATTGCACAAAATTAATCTTAGACAGAGAAGCTGTAAAATCTGTACGTGAATTATCCAAAGTAATTTACATTCCTCTACAAGTTGATGTTTTTTTTAACAGTGATTAATGACTTCTATACACAGTAACAAATTTTCACTTTAAAGTTGCATCCCACCTTATTTCCTCCAGTACTTCTCAAACCAGTCTTGAAGCAAACATACTCTGCAATTTTTTCTCATCACTAAATCTGATATTATTGAGATTTAATATGTAGATTGATTATCTATATATGGTTGCATTCACCAGGTCAGCTAAAGGGAAAAGTTTAATTCCTGATGTCTTACATTTATGTTATCTTTTGTCCTTATATGTGCTGAAAAAGGAAACAATTTCAAGTGTGCAGGCATTCCTCATATTGGGATCCAAGCAGGGATAATAAAGAATTTGGATAGGATGGAATACAGTACATTTTGATGGGAAAGAAACCATAAGAAAATTCCAAGCATAGGAACAGTTGAGGTAGATGTCACTAAGCTGTGATAGCACCAAATTGCTTTGAGATTTTTGTCAAAATCACAAGACAAGGATGTGCTCCAGTAACTTGGTTAAAAATCCAGAAACTACACTTACAACATTGCCCTTAAGCAGGATGAAAAGAAAATCACTATGAGCACCTAGAGAAAACTTTTGGCAGTCTTAATACTTGTTCTTCCACTTTTTATTTGATATTTATATGCAGTATTTTTTTTTTGTAAAACTAATGTAACTCACTATAAGACAGGGAGGCAAGCAAAAGCCATTAACTTGATATGAAGTTGCAGTAGTTTTTATTAGTTTTATCAAGCAGATAATTGAATCTGAAACTGATTCAGTAAAAAGTTTAGAAGTGAATGCCACCTCCATCTGACCCAAAAATGCCAAGGAGACAACACACACTATTGGGTGATGGCAACGTTTAAAAATAATGTTTTCCATTTTGAATGCAGCAATGTAAACTTCAAAAAGAGTAAACTATCACCATTGTCTATTTCTTTGCACATACCACATCATCTATCACAGATAGAAATTTAATGGCAAACCAAATTGTACAAGTAAACAGCTTGGTGCTTACAAGTTTTGTAAAAAGTGTTAGGTTTGATGTAAGTATCTTGATGTCCTTTTTGTAAAAAAAACAGCAATGAATAAAAGCAAGTGGCAATTCACTTATACTTTCAATATTGTACACAACTTTTCTTGATAGCTGCAAGCTTTGTTGTTAGTTTTTAAGCACGGTTCTTACGTTTATGGCTTGATTCTCTCCTCACAGAAATACAGGTCAGGAGTGTCTCCATCTCCAGATCTGTACAAGTGGGAAGCAAATCTGGCCGCAACAGAAGACGTAATGATCCTCAAATGGTCTGCGCTCCCAGTAATCAGCAGCATGAAGTAGGCACTCCTTGATTTCTTTGCGAGTTTTGAAAGCACTGTGTCTGTGGAACACATTCTTCATGTTGAAAAATCAATACAAGCAACTTGCAGTGTTTCCTATTTCTATACAGACAATGGACTAGAATTCTGTAGAAGGCACTGTTTTTTCCTTTGCATGATATTAAGCGCAGATTGCAATCATGCACACTTAAATTTGTTCCCCCTGAGAACTTTCCTTGCACAAGCTCTACTGTGGCAGACAGTGTATGTGTGCAAGAATAACACACAGAACAAAGTCTCCTATGCCCCTGCACCGCTGCCATTTATTTCAGTGGGGCTTTCAAGAGTAATGCCTAGGTGATGGTACTTTGGTACTCTTGATAGAGTCTCCCATATGCTTTAGTGCAAAACTAACATTTTTACTTTCTTTTAATCTGGCACCAAGTGCAATTATCTTCACAAAACAGTCTCCCACCCTCCCAC